AAAAGAAGGCTTAACAAGGAATACCTCAATCAAGCAGCTGAAGATGCAACCATTAGATATGATTATAGAATACTCCTTTGCACCCCTACTAGGATATTGTCATCATCAAGTACTTCTCTTAGGTGCCTGTACCCCAGTGCACAGAGTATGTGGAACAAACAGGAAGAACTAGGGATCTGTGTGCAGTCACAGACCTTTGATCTCATTGCAATTACAGAGATGTGGTAGGATAGCTCACATAACTGGAATGTTGTCATGAAGGGCTACACACTGTTTAGAAGACACAGACCAGGAAGGCACAGTGGTGGAGTTGCCCTATATATGGCACAGCACTTAGAATGTATTTAGTTCTGCCCTGGTGAGGGCAATGAGCAAGTCGAGAGCTTATGGATTAGGATAAAAGGGTGGAATAGTATGACATTGTTGTGGGTGTGTTCTGCAGGTCAGCCGATCAAGAGGAAGAAGTTGTTGAGGCCTTCTACAGACAGCTAGAAGTAGACTTCAAGTCATAGGCCCTGGTTCTTATGTGGGACTTCATCTATCCTGATATCTGATGGAAACGCGACGCAGCAAAGCACAAACAGTTTAGGAGGTCCTGGAAAGCACTGATGATAATCTCTTGATACAGGCAGTGGAAATTCCGACAGGAAATGCATTTTGCTTGACCTTATACTAATGAACAAGAAAGGCCTTGTTAATACGTGAAGGTTGGGTGTAGCCTTGGCTGTAGCAATCATGAGATTGTACCATTCAGTGTCAAAGAGATAGCAGGATAGCAACTAAAGCTGCAACTATGGACTTTAGGAAGGCTGTTTAAGGATCCTGTTGGATGAATCCCATTGAACTAGGCCCTGCAGGGAAGAGGGTTCCAAGGGAATGGGTTGTTATTTAAGGCTCACTTCCTCCAAGCTCAAGAATGATGCATCCCAGTGAGAAAGAAATTGGGCCAAAGGCGTGTGAAGCCTCTGTAGATGACCCAAGAACTCCTGTAATTACTGAAACATAAGCAAGGAATTCACAGGAGGTGGAAGCCGGGGACAGGTGGCCAGAACAGGTAGATATGTGATATCTTGGTCAAGGCCAACCCAGAATTGAATCTGGAAAAAAGAATATCAAGGATAAGAAAAAAGGCATTTTGAAAATATATAAATACCAAAAGGAAAACAAAGGATAATGTGAGCCTACTAGTTAATACAGAGGGTATCCTGAAAACAAAGGATGCAGAAAGGGCAGAGTTACTGAGTGCCTTCTTTACATCAGTCTTCACTGATAAGACCAGCCCTCAAGGATCTCTGACCCAAGAGACCAGGGTAAATGAAGGCTGGGAAAAAGATTTTCCCTTGGTCAAAGAGAAATGGGTCCAATGACAACTTATTAAACTTGACATCCACAAGTCCATGGGTCCTGATGGGATGCATCCACAAGAGCTGAGATAGCTGGTGGATATCATAGTCAGGCCGCTTGACATCATAGCCAGGCCTCTCATCATCATCTGTGGTGTATACAAGCATGTGAATGGGGAGTACCAAGAAGATGGAGCCAGTCTTTTCTCAGTGGTGGAAACCAATAAAACAAGAGGTAACAGGCAGAAACTGATGCACAAGAAGTTCCACCTGAATATGAGGAAGAACTTTACTGTGCAAGTCACTGCATGCTGGAACAGGTTGTCCAGAGAGGTCATGGCATCTCCCTCACTGACCAGATGGACCACTGTGGTCACTTCCAACCTAGCAGATTTTGTGATTCTGAGGTTTTGTTCTTCCCCAAGTGTGAATAGCTTATCAGATCTCCATCTGTTAACAGGAACCTGGGGAAAGCCACACCAGGAAAACAGCAGGTCCTTGCTGTCCTAGGTTGGAATTTGTATAACTTTCCTCACAACTATATGAAAAACAAATACCACCTTTATCTTCAGTTAGAGATAGTTCTTCATAATAGCAGAAGATGCAGAAGGTTTCCAAGACCCCAATGACTATAGTACTCAGGAACTTAAAGCTGATCCTGCTGGTTGTTGGACTAGAGACCTCCTGTGTTTCTTCTTAGTCTGAATTGTCCTATGATTCTATGATGGTCACTCTTCTGAATCAAAAATAGGGGTTTGTACATACCTGGCAAATTCAATTTAAAAAATACATAACTGCAATACAATCACATTTGACTTAGGAAGCATGAAAAATTCTATTAGAGCATTGTCTGTGTGGCTTCTCCAATTCCATTACGTACTTTTTTCCTGCGGCTTCACAGGATAATTTGACTGGAGAATTCCATAAAATACAGTAATGCTTCCTGTTTTCTACATAGATATTTTTAAAAGAAAATCCATGTTGGAATTCATCATATCTAAGTCTTGCTCTGTTTTTTGGTCATTATGTAAGTAAACATATGAGAAAGTGCATGCAAGAATTTTTATAATTTCATTTTCATTCAAAAAGCTCTTCTTGTTTTCTTTCAAGTTATCATCATCAGTAATGAAAAAGTGACGCCACAAGTCTTCTATAGACACATACATTTGTATTTCTGTTGCAGCTAGTTGGTGATCAGTCAGCTGTATTCCTTGAAGAATGCATGGTCTGTTTCCTATATTTGAGTGAGGTCTTTTAGGCACTACAATTGCAATATTTTAATGTACTGATGGTTACAGACTGAGTTTTTGAGTGATCTGTTTTACGCTTATTTGTGATGTTATTCTTTTGCTTCAAATAAAGTTATTGATCAGTTTCTTCACATACTTTTTCATAACAAAAATTATTTCTGATCATCAAATGCCTATTTTGCAAAGGCATTTAATGTAATTTGTGCCCTTGGTGTCAGAAAGAATAGGATTAAGGCGCAGGATTTAATTTACTTAGCTGTAAGAGAAGACATCAGAAATAGCTTTAGCAGTTAAATTACTTGTGCAATAATTGTTTGTTTATGTCCCTAATATTCCTGTGATGTATTTTTGAATGATAGGCCATTTAGGCTGACTCATGCATCTGAAAGATTAGCATTTTACCAATATTCAGTTACCTTATTCCATTTACTTGTTAGTGTAAGAGGCAGCTTAAGTGAAAAATGAATCCTAATAAAATGCCTTTTTAGTAATTCATTTTGAAAACCATTTGACCTTAACTACAATGAAAGTAGACTGTAAAAATCATCATAGATTCCCTTCCTTGAACTTTTCATAATGCTGAAAAATGACTGAGTGAAAGAAGCAAGATCCAGTTACTGTACCCTGTTTGCACAGCTGTACTTCATTGAGTGGAGGCTTGTGTTACACACAGTTTGTGATAGGAAGTAAATGCTTTTAAAACAACTAAGGAGACAGGTCTTTAACCTCCACCTTTTCAGATGCTTTGTTCACTCATTTAGCTTCTGTCGAGGTCTTGGGAAACATTTCAAATACAAAGTATTATTAAATACTGAAGTTCACCTGAATAATTCATTTCCTAGTGAACTCGTTAGGCAGAGATACATTGAGATGATGTTGGAGGTTTTTTGAGAGAGAGATCACTAACTCTTGATACAGTGAACACTTGTTCCTTCAGGAAAAAATGCATTTAAAGCAGAAAGAGTTTTCAGATTCAGTGTTAAGTGTTTTATGATAGTTGAAATTACAGATTTATTTCATCAATTTTAAGGATTTTCAAGGACTTAGAGGGCATTCAAAATTGATGTTTTCATGTAAATAACCAAACTGTCAAAATTAATTAGATTTTAAATTCTCGGTTTCTAGCTTACAAGACAGTCTAGTCCCCTGAAATGGTGAAGACACCTTGAGACTCCCTAATAAGATTTTTTGGCATTACTTTACTTTGCAAATATGTGTTAATCACCAGACCTAAACTATTTGATGTAAACTTGGCACCAGATAATTTCAGGACTTTAAATATACATTATAAGATCATCCTGTGAATGCAATTCTAGTATCTGCCAAAAGCACTTCTCTAATGGCTCTGGTGAAACAAGTCAGTAGCAATGGAAGTGTGCAGCTGGCGGACAGCCAGTCAACTTTTAATTTCTGTAATCAGCTGAGACTTTGTGTATACTTCATCCCTTGAAATACATGATACCTTAATTTAAGTTTACTTTAAATAGGCATTATTTGGGCTGCATTGGCTACATTTTTTTTCCCCTCTAACTGAAGTCATCCTCATAGCTATATATCTGATGGCCATGAATATTTCTATCTTAACCTCTTACTTCAGACTGGCTAGATATCAATATACAGCATAGAAGGGCCAGTCAAATCTGCACTTAAATGAGAAAATGCCTTGAAATATAATCAGGATCTTGAAGTATTCTTCATTTCAGTGCATTAGAGGTGTCATGCCTTCTGACGACATGGCTGACACTGGTTTTGCCCTTATTCTAGCAATTTTTTTGAACTGTAACAATAAAGCCACTGCTCTCTCTGGCTGGAACAAGGTTCCCAGCAAGCATCTGTGTTTTTCCATTTGTCACTAGTGGGCAGGCAATGGCTGTGTTTTGTGGTCTGTGGTACTAGTGGGTTGAAGATTCACACATTCCAGAAAAATGTAGCCTAACAGCAGATACCAGTTAAGTTGTTTAAATTTGAAGCATAAGATTTTTGGAACATTTTATGTTCCCTACTGGTCTTGAAATATAACAAATGCAGCCAGGAGTGCATCCTCAGTCCTTGTCCCTCTGAATCCCATAACAGAGCTCCTACTGACTCCTGTTATCAGGACTTAGCTCAAGCTTTCTGACTGTTTTCTCATATATCCTTCTGCTCTTCTAGCAATGATTTTAGCTCCTGCCACAACCTCAGGTTCCTCAGCATGAAAGTTAGGCTGACTTGTGTCCACTGACAGACGTAACCCAGCATACCCAAACTCAGCTTTGACTATTAAGTTTTATTACCTGCTACTCTATGGTAAAATTGCAAAGTGTAAATTGGGGGATTAGTTGCTGTTAGCTGAAGAAGAAAGGTCTTGGGAAACAAATGTTGCTTTGTTCTCAAGTACGTACCTCATTTGAAATTATTTGTTTTGCAGAGGTTAATATACTGTGGGCTGCACATCAAGTACATCATAGTTCTGAAGATTACAACTTATTCACAGCCTTGAGACAATCTGTACTGCAGAAATACACCGCCTGGGTAAGTTGCACAAGATTTGACAAACAAATTAATATCAACAAGTTTTAGTGAAAGTGAAAACTTAACCTTTTAAGGTGTTTGACATTGAAAGCACAGAAGATGAAACTGTCGAATCTGAGAATCATAGGCTTTAAAATAAATTCACTAATGTTTGTAATTCGAACTTGAAACGTGCTACGGTAATTAAGTTAAAGAAGGCCAATTATATAACACTGCATTCATGTTTTCAAACTTTTTGAGTAGAATGGGAAAATTTTTTTCATTTAGTTAAACATGTGTTAAGTACAAGATTGTAAGTATCAGATTATAATATAACTACTTGAGAATATGTATTCATAACTGAAAGGAGCAGGGAGACAAATGTTAAAGATCCTTTTGGACATGCAAATGTGTTTTTTTGTCTCACTCATTCATGTCATGTCAGTATTCTAGTAGGTAAGGGCAGTATGTCACTGCCTTTATTAGTGTTATTTCAGATGTAATTTATTTGAAATGGTGAGCTGTGTACATGTGTAATATAAACTAAGAATTAATTTATGGATTCAAAAATGTATATTTCCAAATGCATCCATAGACTTAACATACTATTTAGGGTTTAGTTCTGGGCCCAGGATAACTGCTGATTTTCACAGTTGTGCTCTGATGTTCTCACTTGACTATTTTTTTCTTTTCCACTTAGGTTGTAGTTTGTCTGTTTCGTTGTTGTTTCTTATTTAAAAAAGAATGCTGACTTCAATATTTGAATTTGCAGAATTAAAGTTCAAAATGAATATTCAATGTATTTACATATGCAAATATATATGTAATTATATGTTATATTATTATAAATATATATATAATTATATATGCTCTCCAATGAGGTATTATATAGGTGGTGAAGGAAACCCACAGTCCTCTGGCAATCTCTACAACCAGCCTGTGAGTGAATGACTCAAAGTCAAGAATATATGCTCACACATGCCAGTCCAGTATAACCCCATTAACTTCAGTAAAGTTAGTCTGGATTTATGCTTACATAACTGAGCATGGAGTTAATCTGTTGTTTGTAACGTTTTAAGCACATGACATTAAATTAGTTGAAGTGCTAGGTTCCAAGAGAATTGTTAGTTCTGAAAATCATGAAGCAGTGCTACTTTTTAGATTTGTTTCTTAAAGTCTTCTATATAAATTCATATTGTTTATTTATTGAGAAAATAATCATCTGATGTTAGTAAGAGTGCCTAAAATGTAAATGACCTTAATGAACAATAGCGGACGGGATGCATCTCTGTGACAACTCCACTTCCTATGTAAATACTGCTGTGTTAAAGATTTAACCTTTGCTCATTTAGCCGTTGGGACCATATGTGCAAATGCTTAACAAAAACAGTAATTCAAAAAAGTCAAAAAGCCTGTATGTACATATGGGTGTGTGCATGAGCACTTTGCCTGCATGTTTTTGAGGATGATGCCTCAGAGACCATACAATATTCAGGAAGACCAAGATGTCTGGTCACTTTGGATTCTGAAAACCATCCTCAGGACCATACTGGTATCACTTGGTAAATAATATATGTGCATTTAAAAGTCATTTGCTTTCTGCAAAGGGAAATGAACTTAGTAATACATAGTACTTTTGTTTGCAGTGTTTTTATTCACCAAATATTTGGTATTAGCCAGAACATGTGGTTAATATAAGTACCGATTTGCCTCCCCCCAGAACATTTGAGACATATGCCAGTTATCATTATGAAAAACCTTACTGTACATGATCACAATGCATGCTAATTCCTATAGCACTGCTACTTTGTTTTGGACTGCCAGACTTGTCCAGAACCGTGGATGGATCCGCCTTGAAGCTGAAACTCAGTGAAGCCTTTAGATAATCTCTAAGAGTAATCTGATGTTGTTGAATGTGTACTGTACTGTACTGTTGAATGCAGTTTGGCATCCACTTTTGGGGAGGCTGTGAGAAAGTTGTGGTGGATGGTGTGGGATTGTGGGACTGTTCTGCTGCCAACTCTGTAGTGTTTTAAGTTAAACATTTTAAGATAAATAAATCAGCATATTAATCTGTGTGGGTTGTGCTCAAGCTGATTGAAAAGATGTGAAATGAAAGAGAATGGAAAAATATCTTGACAAACAGTGGTGTGAGATATACTCTGAACTTGGAACCAAATATGTAGTACTTTATGTCGTTTGTACACACAGTGTTTCTGTTTCTCCAGTGGAGGGGCCACAGACAAGCATATCTACTGTGAAGACTGAGAGATTGTGTTGAAGCTCATTTCATGGGAAAAACATGTAGGAAAAAAAGAGTATATTAATTTTGAAGAAGAAAGCAGCAAGATAATGCTATAAAAATGAATATATATCAGTGACCAAACTTAGTCAAAGTGCAGTTGTGAGAGATTTGCACATGCACCTTGAAAAACTGTGATTTAATGCTTTGAGTACTAGCTCTCAACTTTCCTCCAAGGGTAAGATTTAATTGCAAATATTAGATCCATAATAATTGATAGCTTTAGATTAAACATTTAGATAAAGGGTTGAATTATGTCTTGGTATAAAAGGCATGGAAACATCTATACATATAAATCTGGACAGGGAATAGGTAAAATAGTTTTTTCAGCACAGTCAGAAAATTCACTTCTTATCTACTGAGGAGCCTGCCAGGTCTGGGATCTGTGAGGGTTGGGGGTTTAGTTATCCTCATCTTTGATTCATGCTTGGTCCTCACACAAGTTCATGGTCACTTGAACTATATATTGGCAGCTGTCCTGTGGCCCCCCACGCCCCGCAGACCCTCTGTGGCCACATCAGCAGGTGACCCCAGAAACCCAGCATGGAAACGGAGAGACTCAGCACAGAAAACTCGATGCTCCTGCTAAACATCAGGAGTTTCAATCTTTTCTCTTTCTGTAGTGGAAGCATTTACAAGCTTTTATTTCCAAATGAGAGAGACAAAGGTAGAGATGACCACATCAGAGAGTGTGCAATTGCCATGCACCCTTCCAAAGGAGCAGTGCCTTTGGTGTGAAGGCAGACAGCAGTAGCCCCAGATGCAATCCCTCTCCATCCCTTCACTGGGTGTCTTTCCCATCAGCTATTGTGGCACTTTTTCAATCTCCGTTGCTGAATCCACAAGTGGGAACAGATTTGTGAATGTGATAAATGTGTTTCTGTAGTTTTGACCAGAAATTCCATCTTGGTGCCAGAAAAGCTTTTCCTCTACAGATTAGTGAAAGCTGGTACATTCATTCCCATGAAATGTTTTGATTTGGTGAATTGGCATTTCCAGTGCAAAACTACTCAATGATTTTTTTTTCTGACATTGATCTTGTTGTTTCAGTGGAACCACAAATAGGAGAAACCAAATATTTGTATGGGAGAGGTTTTCATTCCTCCCTATGGGTTCCACTTCTGTAAATGATCTTTGAAGTCCTTTCTGTGCAAAATAAAGCTTATATTGCAATGAAACATGAGGCAGTTAGGAAAATATTCTCCTTTGTCAGTCTCAAATTTACCTGTAGATTTATATAAAATTTCCTTCATCTCACCACTTAGCAGGGACAACCTAGTACTCTTGTGAGAAATACGTTAAGAAATAAATATGAAGATGATCCTTTCTTCCCCTCTGAGTCATCTGTAAATACCACCAGATTGCCTCTGATACTTTAAGGGCAAAAGCATATAATTTTTAACACTGCGTTCAATTCTGCAACCATTTCCATGAATAATCTGAAAACCATCTGGGGTTTTGTTTTGTTTTGTTTTTGGTTGGTTGGTTTTCTCTTTTCTCTCTTTGTTTGGTTGTTTTGGGGGTTTTTTTTGCTTTGTTTTGTTTGGGATTTTTTGTTGTTGTTTTTAATCCAACTTCCTCTCCACTCCTTTAAAAAAAAGCCTGCTGTTATCATGCTGTTAGACAGGTGCAATCAATAACAAGAGAAAACTGTAGTAAATTTACTTAAATGTGGCTGTGTCCTCTCTGTTAGCTTCTTTTTAAGGTAATCTTTGATAAAAACCATGCCAACTGTTGTGACACAATATCTCTCAGTCTTTTTTTTGTGGCTCAACCACTTCCAACAATTATTTACTAAAGGGGTTCATGTTAGAAGAAGGAGGAGAAAGGAACTCAGAAGAGAAGAGATCAACTCCATGTTAGTGTTCAGAGTATTTCTTCTAAGGTATTGGGAAACTTGCACTACATTTAGGTTTCAGAGCATGGAGATTTGTAGATTTTAAAGTCACTTTGCTGTCTAGTAATCTTCTGCACAAAGCAGTCTGAGCTGTGTTTTTAATTATCAAATAAGTCTTATGCCCACCTCTACTCTAGAATTTCATGTCTAAATGCCACCTCCCCCTATGGAATTTACGAGCTCCCACCTTAGATATGAGTTGCTGTGGGGTTTTTGTGAGTTTACTTAGACTGAACAATTCTTACAGATTGAATGTGCAAATTTCACCTTCCAAATAAATTTTGCTTTTTTTTATTTTATTTTATAAATGCTATGCAAACACTTCAGCCTTTGAGCATCAGAGTGATTAAAACAAAATAGCTGTTCACATTATTTCCCTTCTTTCAGAAGCTCAGTATACTTCTACTACTTTTGAATTCCTTGACTTCTTGGAAAAGAACTTCTAAGGCTTTCAACCAGAAACACCCCATGTGTAGTTTGTGGGGCAGCTGTGATCCATGAAGCCTCTGAGTGTAGTTTTTGAAATCACAGCTGTTCCAGCCCTGCCAGGTGATACTGCAATGGCTTCAGAGTTTCATCCTAGTGTTTCAGACATTCTCTGATGTCAAAGCCAGCAGGCTAAGCTGAGATTGCAGGCCCTTAGTCCTCCATTGGTTTGTCACGGTGAGATATGAATGTGGTTGCTTTCTTGAGAGCATCAGTCACATCACAGGGATGGAGGTGCAGTTGTTTCATAGCCCCAGTGTGACATCTTGCCTATTGGGCAGGCCTTTTGACTAAAACTGAGAGAATATTGGCTTTAAATGCTATGTCCAGACCTACACCAAAGGAATTCCTGACTCAGGAGGTCTGTCATGATTATCAGACTGCTTTATCTGATGTTCAAAGATTTGATTTTTTGCCAAAAAAGGACAATAGAAATTTGAAACACATTTTACTAATTTTGCTGTATTTCACAGGGAGATATTGTCTGCTACACAGATTTTGCCTGAGTGCTAAAGAGATTTAAGGTTTTGAGGCTATATCTGCTACTGCTTGGTTTAGGAAAAAAATCTCTGTATTTTAGAGAAAGATTAACTTTTTAATGCAGGTTATGCAACACAATGTCAGGTATAAGGGAAAAGAAAAAGACAAGCCCTTTTCTGAAGAAATCAGACTGACTTTTAATATATGAAGGTCTTGGAATACTTATTCTGTTGCTCAGCCAGTTAAGCAATTGATTGTGAAATTCCTAGGACTTTTCTCTGTATGTAAGATACCAGGATGTTTCCTAAGTAAGCAGTTTTCTGATACTATTTTCATGCTGAGATGTTTTTAGGGCTCAGCAATATATTGGGACTTTAAGGGAGATGCCATGAGAAAATTAGGATGAGAATTTGTAATTAACTTATACGGTCAAGTGAGCTGCCTTATTCTTATGGTGCTCACGTAGGGAGTTTGGATGGAAAAGCTATAGTGTTATCAATTCACACCTTGCTTACTGTGTGATAGTCTTCCCTGTTAAGTCAACCCTTCATGTCAAGGATATGTTGCTGTTTGCTCCATGTAGTACACATGATAAGCTTCTAATAGGATTTCTGAGTTCTTTTCTCGATTTTTTTGCTTGCTCAGTATGACGTCTGAGAAATCACTTTTAGGTCAATTTATGTCTCATTTTCTGTAGCACATCTAGAAGTAACATAATAATCAGTATCTGTGTATGCTATATAATGTCTTCATTATAGAGGCATTAGAAGCAGCAAGTATCTTGTGCAGTGCTTTAAGCTCCTGAGATAGTACATTATATCATCATGAGTTTAGACTTGTATATCTAATGTATGTTTTCTTTCTCATATTTCAGATGTTGAACTTGCCCATGGCTCTTTTTATTCCCCCTTCAGTGTTTGCTGTTCATCTACAGTTTAATCTACTCTACCAGTTTTGGATACATACAGAGGTAAACCAGGTTTTTAAGCCATACCTAAACAGTTAGCCTGGGGCAGTGTCCTGGAAATCCACTAGGAGCTGATTTATTGTGTAAGAAAAATCTTTGTCTGACTTCTTTAAGGAGAAACATCTGTTCATTTTTATTCCTTTTTCTGAATATATATTGCTAAGTTTATAAGAAGCAATGAGGCCAGTTGGTCCCAATTAGATTTTTAAAAAAGTAACTGTAAGGAATCAAAACTTTTTTGCTATTTTAATACTATATTTTCCTATCTTGCAGCTTATTAAACATTTTTGGCAGATACTGAAACTGATTTCATTTCTAAGATAAATATTTGAGGGAAAATATCCAAAAGCCAGTGCTTCTTAAGGATCAGAGTTGCAACTAAAGTCAGATATTGATTCTTTCTTAATGCAAGATGAAAAACACCCTTTGATTATCTGTTTGTTTATGACTGCACCACTTTATTTGTGTTTTGTGGCTGCATAGACCATATCTGGTTTGCATACATATACAGTTAATAACCCACTGTAATTGGTAAGTAGTTTCCCACACTTTTCAGGTAGTTCAACAGCCTCTACATTCTTCCTTGCATTACAGTAGAGGTGTTTAAAGTTATTCCATTTTATAAGTTGGTAGCATATTTCCCAGTAGCTCCAAGTGGTCTGTGAGCTAATTATTTCTATAACACTCCTTTGATTATTCTGCCTATGCAGATGCCTCT